CAACCGAAGTGACCCCGGGCCTGAGGAAAACAGGGACTTAAATCCTCTTTTATTTGAAGTTTTGGAGCTGCTGGTGCTCAGCCATGAGCTTGTGTGTCCCATAGAGCCAGGAGCAGAGCACCAGAGAAAAATAAACCAAATATTTCCCTGGGGCTGATTCTTTGCTCTGGCTCTAATCAGCAGCGGTTATTGGACGTTTGAGGTCTCAGCATTTAGCTCCGAAACGTTTTTGTTTGAGTGTTCAGGAGCTGATCGTTTATATTAAAACATTCTGTGGAAAAATACTTGTAGTTCCTCTTCATCTCCTGGATGGCAGAGCTGATGGGCTGCAGCCCAGACCCAGCACCCAGGGGCACCCTTCTCCCTCCCAGGGGCTCTCACATCAGCCCCATCTCCTTTCTTAAGTTGTTTTTTTTTGGGGGGGAGAGTTTGGGAACTGGTGCAGAGGATGACAAAACAAGGGGAAAAATGACAAAACAAGGGGAAATGGGTTTAAACTGAAAGAGGGGAGTTTTAGATTAGATATTAGGAAGAAGTTCTTCACTGTGAGGGTGGTCAGACACTGGAACAGGTTGCCCAAGGAAGTTGTGGATGCCTCTCCCTGGAAGTATTGAGGTCGAGGTTGGATGAGGCTTTGAGCAACCTGGTCTAGTGGAAGGTGTCCCTGCTGCTGGCAGGGGGGTTGGGACTGAATGAGCTTTAAGGTCCCTTCCAACCCAAACCGTTCTATGACTCTCTGATGCTGCTGCTTTCCCTCCTCAGCACTCGAAGGCGACTGGCAGGAGGAAGATGTGTGATATCCTTCTGCTGCCTCCTCCTTTTCTCCCCTACTTTTTGCTGCAAACTTGAATGTGAAAAATATTTTGAACTGCTTCTCTTATCTCTGTTTTCCCAGCGTTTTGAAGCTGGTTTAGGCAGGAGAGATTAACAAAGGCAAGGCTATTTACATGAAGGCAACGTGGCTTATGAATGTGATGGTGACAATTGGAGTTTTTATCAGCCCTCAAGGCTTGTAATATTACTACTTGTCTTTCTCCAATGCATTCAGACTTTGACAGCCCTCAAACACCTCACCTAGGGGAGAATTGTGGCTTTTTTAGGAGTGGGAAAATTGAAGCCCAGGGAAGGGGAAGCGATTCTATTCAAGGTCACGGAGCAAGCTGGTGGCAGAACCAGAAATAGCACCCAGAAGTTATTAGGTTTTTTTCTGTATTTCCTTTCCTGTCACCACTGTTTGCTTGGATACCGAGATAACTGTGTGTAAACAGAAGGTTTCCAGAGCGCTGCAGCCTTGTTATCTGCCTGATTCATTCAGTGATGATGCAACCTGGAATCCAGATTTCTGCAATGCCTTCCACAGTCCCTGATGCTGCACGTGACATCACTGGCTAAGTTGAGTAACTGGAGTTTTAAACTTGTCTCTACCTGAAACACCAGTAAAATAACCAGTGTCTGAGTGAGGCTCTTCTCACTGTGATTTTATTCCTTATCCATGGTCAGGTACCGTCTGCTCATTCCCCTGGCAAAAATCATTGACTTTTGTCTTTTTGTTCTTCTTAACCTGGTAAGGAGCCCTGGAGCTGAGAAAGTCAACTGTGGATGCTGATCTGCTCTGCAACCCACCGATGACTTTGGTGACTACTAATGAGGTTCTCAGTTTGTGCAAACCCCCCGGTACCTGGGGAGCTGCCAAGCTGTCAGGTTCTCAGCAGCTTTCAGAAGCCACGAGACACCTTTTAATAGCTTCTGTCGGTCGATTCTGCTATGAGAGAGCCACAGCTTTCTCCCCCAGCCATGAGTGGGAAGCAAGCGTGGCTGGGATGAACCTCTCTTTCTTAGACCAGATCTAAGAGGAAGGCAGCAGATCTGACATCTTTGGGAAACAGGAGGGCTCGGTTTTGAGCCACTGAGTCTCTGTTAGGAGAGGATGATCAAGAACTCTGTAAAACTTCCTCCTCTGTGGGAGGTGAAAAATGAGCTGGAAGGAGAGCAGTGAGACCTTTCACAGGCGTTTGCTTTTGGGATGTGGCAGAACTGCCAAAGAGCTGCATGAGCAGACAGCTGAGCTCCAGCAGCCGACGTTCATTGAGGAGCTACAAGAATCTTCCTTCCTTTGCACACAAACCCCCAAGAAGAGAGAAGAGCAAGACTTTGAATGCCATGTTTCCCCTCCTCCTTGAAAGCCGATGCTTTATTCCTCCTCTGGTGCTGGTTCACTTGGTAGCTGCACTCCCAGGGTGTCAGCAAAGCTTTGTAGCACCTTGTGATGGTTTCTGAGAGCGTAGGAATTCTGTTTACGTTGTCAGCTATTAACGTTCGCAGATAGCACGCACGTATCTGTCTCTCCAGTTCTCAGGAAGCACCAGGATGGCTTGAATGGGAAATGAATTATTCTTTATCCAGGATGTTTTTGCTGATAAACAAAATAATAAGTCTTGTATGTTGTGCCTTGGTGGTCCAGCACTTCTGTGTCTGTCTAACCTTGTCTGGAAGTACCAGCTGCAGATTTAATCGGGGTCTTTGCATCTGGTTTGGTTGTCATCATCAACAGAGCCTGAATTTTGTAACAAATCTGGAAATGATGCTGATGATTTATTTTGGCATCAGACAATTCATCTGCCACCCTGCCTGCCTGGTCTCTTTTGGTCACTGAGGGGAAACCAGAAAACGAAGTTTATCAGCAGAGATGAGTAGGTGGTAATTTTGAGATAGTATTGCTCCTGAGTGTCCTTTTCTGATTATAACTACACTTGAAGAGAGACCTTTCTGTAGACTTGAAATATTGAGATCTGACTCTGCCAGAACCATTCTTCAATAGATCACAGAATCACAGAATCACAGAATATTAGGGATTGGAAGGGACCTCAAAAGATCATCCAGTCCAACCCCCCTGCCAGAGCAGGAACCTCAATGAGATCACACAGGAAGGCGTCCAGGTGGGTCTTGAATGTCTCCAGAGAAGGAGACTCCACCCCCTCCCTGGGCAGCCTGTCCCAGGGCTCTGGCACCCTCACTGGAAAGAAGTTTCTTCTCAAGTTGAAGCAGAACCTCCTGTGCTCCAGCTCACACCCATTGCCCCTTGTCCTACCATTGGGCATCACTGAGAAGAGCCTGGCTCCATCCTCCTGACATTCACCCTGAACATATTTATAAACATTAATGAGGTCACCCCTCAGTCTCCTCTTCTCCAAGCTAAAGAGCCCCAGCTCCCTCAGCCTTTCCTCAGCAGGGAGATGCTCCACTCCCTTCATCATCTTGGTGGCTCTGTGCTGGACTCTCTCCAGCAGTTCCCTGTCCTTCTTGAACTGTGGGGCCCAGAACTGGACACAATATTCCAGATGTGGCCTCACCAGGGCAGAGTAGAGGGGGAGGAGAACTTCTCTCGGTCATTAAAATATATTTGGTAACTTACCCAACTTGCTTCTATAACCTCACCACGCTATATTTTTCTACTCACAAATATCTAGAAAGCTGTGAGCTGGAGCCTGAGGCACAAATGATAGAAAATAAAATAATCTTGCAAAAGTTAGAGAAATGTGCGTGTTAAAAGTGACCCCTCTTCTGCCTGAGCATCTTCACGTGAGCTTTGTAAAGAAATATATTTTACTGACAGTGCTGGCCAAATATTTGGTTGCAAATAATTTGGGGCTGGATTTAAATTTTGTTAATTTACTGTCAGAATGATGATTTTCGTCACCCCACAGTGCTATGGCAACTGGGATCTTCTGAGCAAAAGGTTTTGGGTAAAAACCATGTAGAAAGAGTGATGGGGAGAAGCAAGTGCTGCCTTTCTATAGTGGAGCTGCAAGGAATGGGGTTGGGCACGTCTCCTCCAGGCAGACTTCAGGGCTGTGAAGGGACATGAATGGTGATAAATAGTGACTAAATTTCTTTGCCTTGTTTCTGGCTTGTTAAATTAGTCTCGTTGTTGTATTTGGAGCAGTGATGATGTGGGTTCTGGATCTGCTCTTTCTCCTGGATGCAAGAAAGATGATGTGAAAGAGAAAATTACTTGCAAGCTCTGGGGTTTTGGGGGAAGTCAAGAGAGTAATTGTAATTTGCTAATGGGTAGCATGGGAATATGGGATCAGCACTGACTGGAAAAACATCTTAAAAACCTGTTTTGTGAAGAATCTAAATATTTTGGCATTTTTTTTTCAATAGCTCAAGGAGAATAAACAAGGAACTTTTGTAACTTCACCTCCTCCTTGCGTTTCTTTTTACCGCAGATGAGCAGGTTTCCGTGTCCCTTGGTTTCTCATTTTTCCTTTTGTCTCTTAACTTGCAAAGATTTGAGGAAAAAATTTAAATTTTGGATGCAGAAGGGAAATAAAATGGAAAAGATTTCACGCTGGTTTTTGGAGGTTATGTTACAACCAGCAGTGAGGCTGAGAAAGGAGAAATGACACTGCTCAAAATCTGAAGCTTTGGGGTTTGAAGTGACAGCAGAAACTCTCTTAAAATAGATTTCTAACAGGAACTTGCTCAAGAAACTGAGTTTAAAAGGCTCCCCCACACCTCATATTACATCAAAAAACCCCAAATGACATTGTCTGCTCTCGGGAAGCACCATCACAGCAACCCTTGGTGTCCCTGGGGCAGCTGGGCTTTAACATGTCCTGTATCCCACGAGGGACAGACACAGGGTGCTGGGGCTGTGCCGTAAGGGACCTGGGGGATGGAGAGCCTGTGCTGGTGCTCAGCCCCGCTCTTCTGCCACCTCTCCATCCCCAGGACATTCCTACGTGGCCCTTGGGATGCTTCCCAGGGTGGCTGAGTGGTGCTGGGTGAGTGCTGGGACAGGGGGACCCGAGTGACTTGAAGATGCTGAGGGCATCTCCTGGGGGAGCAGGACCGGAGGGTGATGGCATGTCTGTGTTCAGGGACCTTGGGGAGGCTGATGGGATCTGGGGGCAAAGGCACAGATGGGAGGATGGAGGTGGTTCTTTGTGAGGTGGTTCTTTGTGGAATGGTTCTTTGTGGGATGGTTCTTTGTGGGGTCATTCTTTGTGAGGTGGTTCTTTGTGGGGTGGTTCTTTGTGGGGTGGTTCTTTGTGAGGTGGTTCGTTGTGGGGTGGTTCTATGTGGGGTGGTTCTTTGTGGGGGTAGTTCTTTGTGGGGTGGTTCTTTGTGGGATGGTTCTTTGTGGGGTCATTCTTTGTGAGGTGGTTCTTTGAGAGGATGGTTCTTTGTGAGGTGGTTCTTTGTGGGGGTGGTTCTTTGTGAGGTGGTTCTTTGTGAGGATGGTTCTTTGTGAGGTGGTTCTTTGTGAGGTGGTTCTTTGTGGGGGTGGTTCTTTGTGAGTATGGTTCTTTGTGGGGTGGTTCCTTTGTGGGGTGGTTCTTTGTGGGGTGGTTCTTTGTGAGGTGGTTCTTTGTGGGGTGGTTCTTCATGGGGGTGGTTCTTTGTGGGGGTGGTTTGCAGGTTTTAAAATGATGGTCAATCACTGTTCTTCTGTTATTCATGTTTGATTATTGGTTGTGATTATAAACCCAAATTGACCACCCCACTTTCCAACTTAAGCTCCAGGCGTGTCCTTAGATCTGATGCATTCATTTTTTGCAGCAGCAGTTACACATGATAAGGCAGAGAGGGAGAAAAGATGATTTTTAAAATATGCTCTTACTCTTCCAGATCTGAAGTTATCCTCACTATGACACAATAATTTTCCAACGCTACTTTTCGGTTATATTTAGAAATGCATTTTCTGTTCCTTCCCTCTCCTTTCTGTGGAACAATTGTGCAACTTTCTTTTTTCTTAATATAATACTGTATTAAAATTAGCTCCAAGACTAAAAAGAGTCCTCTGTGTAGGAAGGTAGCTACCTTCCTTTCCAGCACTTCCCTTGGATCTTCCACTGGGATTTTGTTCCTGTTAGACACGGGTTCCTGGGGCATTTGCTGTGGTGTGTGGCTGTGCTTTCCCTGACTGATCTCTCCTCTGTTCTTCCCAGAAGTGAGCATGCAGAGTTCAGAGGGTGGATCAGACTCAGCAGCTTCTGTGGCTCTTCACACTTCTGCATCAGCCCAAGCTCCAGTAGTGCAGCCAGTGCCAGCGTCTCAGCAGGTAACGTATGCACAGCTGGGAATGCTGTTTCCATGGAGAACAGACCTGTTTTACTGGCAGGTGTATTTTAATCCAGGGGTTTTTTTCTATGAGGGAGAGGATTGTTAATCAGCTCGTTGAGGTGATTCAGTGAGGAGAACCTGTTGCTGGACTTTGTGTTGATAAAGGTCACGGATATTTCATGTGTTAGCCCTACGAGTATGCAAGCTTTAAAACACCGGGTTTAGATTTTAATTTAGCTACCGAAGAAAGTCACTTCATGCCAGTTTGATATTTGCTTCAGTGTAATATCCTGCTGTCATTATTTGGTGTGTCAATAAAAGCAGGAGAAAATGAAACTGTCTTTAAAGGCATCTCTGCAGACAGGGTGCGTTCTCCTCCACCTCTGTAGAAGAGCTAGCATGGGGAGAGGATGGAGGAGTCACATGCTGGTCTCTTCCTTTGGTAGGTGGATCCTGACATTTCAAATTCTGGAGGGGGGATTCATGATTCATGTACATGAACACGATGCTCTTGGGAGGTCTCCTGATAGGAGAGAAATGATAGCTTCAGCTGATGAATGAAAACTACCTAATGCCAAATGCAAAGGGTTAAGTTAAACTGGTTCCTTTTTATGCCTTTTGGGGAACTATCAAAAGAAGTTTCCATCGCAGGAAGCTGGAGGGATAAGAGGATGGGTGGGTGTAACTTAGCTACACCCTTCTCTTCGATTCCCAAGTGAGCAGAAGAAGCTGCCGTTGGATGCTGATGGAAAGGAACAATTCAAAATTGTGGTAGGAGCATTCGATTCACCCGGAGCCGTGGACATTCACCCCGTGTGTGTTTGGCCAGCTCTCTGTCACCTTCCAGCCTTCCCAGCTCCAGTTTCTCTGGGTGATGTTTCTTGTTTGCATTGTAACGATGTGGATACCGCTGAGCACTAGTGTCAAACACCTTGGGGATCGTCACTTAATTGGACTGTGACAACATCATAAAGGAGTTTAGGAAACCCATCGGCTTTGGATTATGAAATTACCCATCCAGCCTTTGCCAGTGTTGTCATCATGACATGTAGTATCGAGTGGAACTCCATGGATTAAGGAAGACCCAGAGGATTGTGGAAGATTCCTGAAGAGGAGGAGCATCCAGAGCCTTCCCTTCTCACCAGCGGGACAAAGAAAATCTTAGGAATGAACTACCAGCAGCGTGACTGGTGTGAGGCTGACGCCTTTGGTGTTGTTGATCACTGGTCTGCCTTTCAGTGTGAGAGAAGGCTGTATGAACAGGATGGCCTCATCTTACAGGTTGGAGATGATTCATTTTTTTGGTTGGAAGGTAATAGGAGCAGCTGGACAGGAGGTGACAAATGACACAAGTAGCTGAGCTGGGCAGCTGTGCCAACAGAGATTGTATTGTGGTAAAAGCAATGACAGAGAAGAGGTAAAAAGTAGGAGAAAGGAACAGATCTTGCTGAGACTTTGGTGTAGGTGGCATTGTCGAGGCCTGACGTGAAAAAAAGGCTTTTAATGTTCTCATCCTGCACTGGCTACAGCCTTTTTTGGAGACAAAATGGACAAAGTGATGTCTGGCTTAAGTGTGCGTGTCCTTCTCGCTAGCTCAGCTGCAGGATCTCCAATATATCCAGACTCACTGCGGGTCAGCGATGTAGAGGCCACCTAGAAATCTGGGAAATTATCAGATTCCTGTGATTCTGCTGGAATAGAATTTCTCTCTGGTTATAAAGGACACGTTGGGAGGGTGTCAAGGGCTAAAAATCGTAACTATATACTTGTAAGCTGGCCAGTAACTGTCAGGGTCTCTCCTAGGATTCATGTGAGATTGTTTAGCAGCTTTTTGTTTGGTTGGCCCAATCTGCTGGGTATTTTTAAAGCCCCAAGCCACAGAGGATGAATGACTGTCTCCTTGGAGAAGGTCCTCACCAGTTTAAAAGGCCACACTGATATTTGGTTTGAACGTTTCCTTTCTTACTCTCATACCAGTGTCCCAGGCTCTGTTCCCATGGGCATCACTGAATCATTTATTTCCATCCACCACATCCCTGCTCTTGTTTTGCTGGATCTTCAAGGTGCTGAGCTGTGTGTCCAGCCTCAAACTGAATGCTGAGCATAACATAAAGAGATGGGAGATGATGGAAATGACAGGGAAGAGGTAGAGGACCACCGCAAGGCAACACAAAGCATATCTGTGCCCTTGCTGGTACTGAAGGGAGATACAGAACCATCTGAGCTTTGGTGGTGGTGGAAACCATACAGGCTGTGGCACCTTGGAGAGTGTGATTTCATGTCACAGGAGGCAGAGCGTGGTTTGGTGTGGCAGCCCTAAGAAGAAACTTTGCAGCCCTTAGGAGGAAAATATGAATGTGGGTTCAAAATATGAATGAAAATATGAATGCGGGTTCAGTTCTGCGACTGAACCTCATGTTGAGCTCCTCCCGTCAATCAACTATTTGCTGTTAATTACTTTTGTGGAGACTTAAAGATGATCCATGTTAGAAAATGTGGATCCAGCTTTTCCCAAGTTTGGGGTACTGAGTTCAGGCTGGTGTCACTGGGGACTGCAGGGACGCTAAGTAAGGGGTACTGCTGCCACTGGAGTGGGAGACAAGCTTTCCAGGAAAGTTTGAAAGAGAATTCCTAACTCACCTGGGTTAGAGACTGAAAGTAAGTGTCTCTTACTGTATCTTCTTCTTTCAGAGGGTTTTGGTCCAAGCAGCAGGCTCCGCTCCCAAAGGAGCGCAGATGCAGCAAATCTCTGTTCCCAGAGAACACAACAGGTAATATCTCCGGGGTGAGACACCATGTAGGGCCTCCCGTGTCCCACACGACATTAGAAACTGTGCCAGGTAGCTGCTTAGAGAAATCCATGCTCTTAACTAAGGGAGTTGTGTGCAATTAGAGGACTGGAGAACACTGTGAGAGCAGCTTTCTCCTTCTCTCTCTCCCTTTTTGAGACTGAAGGCAAAAGAAACTCTCAAGATATTTAAAGTTTGGAAAGAACCTTTACTGTAGCAGTTGTCTTTCATACATCTGAAGATTTGATGGATGCTTTTAATTGCCATTTCAAAGCAGTCCTCCTCTGTAAAGACTTTTTTTTTAGAGGCAAAATGTTTGGGACTTTTTTTTAATTACACAAATGAACATACTGACTGCATGTGGCTTCATAGAAAGGTTAGGTGGCAGAGAGCCATGCGAGTGTTATTATTTATCTGAACTTTGCCTTTTGCAGTCCTTGTTTCCTAAGAAACCAGGCATATGTGGTGCTGCTTCATGTGGACAGTGAGTCTGACTCTCTTGACTTTTCCCTCTAGCAATTTTTTATTTGGTTGCTCAGTTTCAGATTAAAAAAAAACCCAAACAACTTGACAGAGGGCAACTACATCCCTCCCAGACCAGTGAAAAGGGGGGTTGGGATGCAGATGGACACTGCCAACCTCCTCTCTGAAGGAAAGGCTGCAGCATGATCTCACCATTATTAGTCAGCAGAGAATCAGCCCTGAGACATGTGTGCAGAGGAAACCCAGCTCCATTGTTTCCACTGCTCATGAAGCAACTATTTATTTATTTATTTTATTTTGACCTTTTAAATAAATACGTCCTTTGGGGATTCCTGAGCCTGTGGGGTTTTTGTTTGTTTCCTTTTTCTTTTTCTTTTAAAAAGAAAGCCTAAATGTCAAGGTAAGGTTGGAAGTTGTTGAAGGATGTAATATGCAATTTCTCCATTTCTCCCGTTCTTCCTAGGCAATAACATATCCGTAACTTGAATTTATGATGCTTGTTTCAGGTGCAATCCGTGCAGCACGTATATCCCTCCCAGGTCCAGTATGTGGAAGGAGGAGAAGCTGTTTATACCAATGGAACCATGTAAGAGTCTCTTGTTGGCTGTAGCAGAGCCCTGTTCCCCTCCCAGCTGCGTTGAGCCCTTTGTTCTTCCCAGGTTCCTTCCGCGCTGGCTCTGCTGCTGGCACTGCCCGCTGTTGAAAGGAGTAAGAGGTGGAACAACCATTTCACATGCTACATTGTGTGTGTGGGGGTAGTTTCAGTCAGACTCCAGCCTTGGAGAAGGTGTTGTCCTCATGGAGAGACTGTTCTCCAGGGAATCCTGCTACCTAAAGGAGTCTGGTAGTTTCCTCATCCCCAGCCCATTGTGTGGTGAGGTGAGGCAGCTTTAGGAACCAGAGCATAACTTGTTCTAACCAGTGCATAACCAGTTCTAACTGGTCCATGTCTTTCTTGTGTTGGAGTCCTCAACACAAGAAAGACATGGACCAGTTAGAACGAGTCCAGAGGAGGCCACCAGGATGATGCGAGGGCTGGAGCAGCTCTGCTGTGAGGACAGGCTGAGAGAGTTGGGGCTGTTCAGCCTGGAGAAGAGAAGGCTCTGGGGAGACCTTCTAGTGGCCTCCCAGTACCTGAAGGGGCTCCAGGAAGGCTGGGGAGGGACTTTGGCCAAGGGCAGGGAGTGAGAGAACAAGGGGTGATGGCTTGAAAGTGGCAGAGGGGAGATGAA